TACATATAAAAATCGTAGTTCATGGCTACTTTTGAGGACTTGTAAGAACGACCTAGATGTTCAGCTCTCTTCCCCTCTCTACCTTGCAATCTTTGGCGCAAAACAACCCGCTGACTTGTCAACCATCGCAAACACAGGATTAACCCAGTGTTTTGCCACGAAACCTTTCCCCATGATTGCGGGTTGTAGAGGAGCACATGAAGCTACATTGGGGGGCGATTTTTTTCCCAGCCCTGGTACCCTGGTGAACATCCCCTTTGGCCTGGTGCTATGGTGAACATCCCAAAACATCTAAAACAAGGAATAGAACAAAGTCGTCTAATTTTCATCGGAGTCATCAACCGAAATTTGAATGAAATTGAGGTTATTTCTGTAAAGTTTTCTTTTGACCCAGACTCGACCCGACTAAAGCCATCAGGAGCTGCCTGATGGAGAGGTGTGTCACCCCCATGCATCCGTTGCTCCAAGTTCGCCTGGTGCTGGTGAAACAATCCTCCCTGGAGAAGGCAAACAAGACTCCCTTGACTAGTCCTTGCTTTAGTGGCTACTTGACTTATATACTGGTAAAGCACCAACAAATTATATAGTGGTTAATAGTGGTTACATAATGTTACATATATCAAATATCAATTTTTATACTTGATGTATCTATATACTGGTAAAGCACTAACAAACGTCGGAAGCATACTCGAGGATCTCCACTTATATAATCCTGTCCAACCCAACGACAACACCATCCGACAACTGTCGACAAACATTAAGACACATGCGTTAATCAATCTCTGCTGCTGGATGGATAGAGTCGGTATATAGAACATCTGGGTCAATTACAAAACAATGTGGTATGCGGTATACGGCATACTCTTAAAGATTGCAGTCTTCAAAAAAAAAATGGTAGATCAAACACAGAATTTTGTAGTTGTCCAATCATTTCAGACAGGCCCATCATGGCCCATCTGGTAGAACCCGCCTGGCCATCGATCAGCACCTGCAGTGTTAAGCTCTGCATTTTGGGACACTCGGCTTGGATTCATCTCTGGGGCTTTTTGAAACCGCCACACATCAATGACCATGAAATTGTCCCGCCCCAGCAATCCCCTCCAAAAAGAAAAACATACTTGGGTCCCAAACTGGATCAAGGGATTGTTAAGGGATCAAGGATGATGGCAAAAAGCTACCTGAAGCATTGGGGTTACTTGAAAACAATCCCTGGAACCCAACACGGAATGGGCCTTAGCCACCTCCACGTGGCCTTGCCATGCGGCATAGTGCAAGGGAGCCTTGGCAATTTGGGCTGCAAAAGTAGTGATGCTACAGTCAAAACATCCAAGAAAGTAGATAGTTTTTTTTCAATTTAAAAAAATCATGTTTTGTATATGGGGGATGCTCATCCAAACCACTGGGGAGTCCATATGTTTGGATCTTTTTCGGATGTATTGAACAAGAATGAACAGAATATATAGATAGATACATAGATAATTGTATTTATATAAATATATATACATAATATAGTACACACATATATATATATATAAACCTGTGTATATCTATATATATAGACATATGATATATGTGTAATGTATGTATGTATGTATGTATGTATGTATGTATGTAATTATATATATATAATACTTGAGTCGACAAACTTGAATGAGGCTATGACCATGACCATCATCACTCCTCAGCTGCCGCTCCTCAGCTGCCGTCAACCTGACCTGAGGCCTTTGCGGAACGATTGCGCGAGGAGTATCCAACCTGGACGCTGCCCACGGAAAGCACTGTGATATCCACCGGAAAAGGGTCGCCCCTCAAGCTTGATATGGGGGGTTTTCCATAAAGGGGGGATCCCTAAAGTGGATGGTTTATAATCGAAAATCCATTTATATTCCATTTATAAAGGATCATTTAAGGGTACTTACCCCTATTTCAGGAAACCTCCATATGGCTACATATGCTAAAAACTCCTGGGGAATCTCAGGCGCACTGAAGGCATCACAGCGCAAAAGTCCGTTTTCCAGGCACCGACCAATTCCATTGGTCCATCTCAACACGCAGCCAATGCCATTTTCAAGACATCCTGTCGGCTCTCCAGCAAGGCTTCATCAAGACGTTTCATCTGCTGGATAGATACGGATTCTAGGCTTGCCGCGGCTTGCCTGTCGTAGCACTGAAGCATGCGTGCAATCTTCAGCAAACATTTGGCCCTGCATTGCTATTGGTATCTTTCTGCTGCTTCCAAGAGCTGCTGCACAGCCAAGCTTCTCCGATTTCCCGGGCATTTTCCAGTCCTCAACGCAACGTTCATCAGTGGAATGTGGTGCATCGAATCAACTTGGCAAGCCGGCTTCGAGCAGATTTTGAAGCTCGGTATATGGTGGTTCCTCTTCCATGCAGAGGTTCCGACAAATCCATGCCATTTCCGTCCTGAAAAACAGGACCCGGCCTCTGAGGGAAACCTCAACCCTGAAATGGCTGTCCACCACGCATAACTGCACAAGGGAACACCCAAGCCTGCACACATATAAATAGTTTCAAACGCATCCAAACATCAATCTCCTGTAAATGAACACACACACACACGCATATGTGTACATATGTGTGTATATAATATTATATATATATATATGTCTCTCTCTCTATTATATCAAATCCATGTATCATGCAGTCGGAATTGGATACCAAGCCACATAGCACACCATATGATACTATATTACACTATATTATAGTCCATTATATAATAGCACTATATTATACCATATTACACTATATTAAAGTATATTATGTAACAGCATTTTATATTATAACATATTATATTACAGTATACTATAAAATGATATTACATTATATTATATATATATACTTTTTTTAAATGCTACGTTATGTTATGTTACATTACATTATAATGTTACATTGTAGTATATATTATATTATCATGTATTAACAAAGGCCAAATCACAATATACTTGCATTCATCAAAGTCACACACACAATCAAATCTGTCAATATTTTCATGGGGTATAATGACACATGACAAAACCATGGACAAAACATGACAAAACAATGGACAAAAACCAAGCTGCAAGGCATCTGCCAACGCAGGGACGGAACTTCGAATGTGTCTCTCCAGTGCCCCAAAGTCCTGCTTCTTTCCTCACGAAGCTGAAGGCATGCAGCATGACTGCTGGAGTCCCCCAAAAAAGTTGAAAAAACACATTGGTTGGAGGTATCAACCCCGTAAAACATGGAAAAATCATGAAAAATCATGTAACATCCCAAATCTGGTTGAAGATATGCAACACATATGCAAACACTGTTTGAAACCACCAGCTAAATCCAGCTATATAATTAAATCAAATCTGTTGGCAAGAGGCCACTTGAAGCAACATAGCTTTGGAGAATCGAATGGCAACTCAAAGGTGCAACCCTCTTCACTTCAAACGATCCAAATGAATCCAAATGATTGTATATCAGTCTTATTCCACTGGAAATACCTCAAGTTAGTTCCAGTCTCCGAGCATTTGGAGGCTATGCTCCCGAGTGCTCTGCGCCACAAGACCTTGCCAAGGTAGGTGCCCCGAAGCCAAATATATAAGCACCTTGACTCAAATTGATTGTCAAATGCACCGGCATGTGAAGTTGAATGAAATTTCAGAATGTTACACAGCTGGGGCATTTATAGTGCTTCGCATTACCACTGTGAATTCGCTTATGAACTCAGTTGGGGCATCCAATCCGTTCTTCCATCAGCTTTCTCGTGTGATACCGCCATACCTGGTATATTATATATCTTATTATCAAAACCAAGCGACATAGGCCAGCGATTCCAGATCACAGCGGGGAGAGCGCTCGCCGTGGTGAGCCGGGATGGCACAAAAGCGAGTGGTGCCCACTGCAGCTTTGGAGCGTGGGTACACCCAGTAGCTGGACACCCGGAAGGGCCGACAGCAGCCAAAATCAATGAGGCTGATCCTCAAGAATCTTTCGAATGTTTGGCTTACCCTCTGGTAATTTAACATAGCTATTGAAAATCACCATTTTTAATGGGAAAATCCACTATAAATGGTCATTTTCAATAGCTATGTTAGTTTACCAGAGGGTAAGCGGCTTACGTCTTTAAACATTGCCTTCACTGGATATTAAGCACTGCAAATCACCAGATTCCCCCAGGGGATCTTGGGGGTGAGGTCATGGCGCTGCACTGTAACAAAACAATGGGCGATCCACAATAACAAATCACCCCCGGTTTGAGGCTTCTGATCTTCTTACTGGGTACCCCCTACTTGAGATTAATATGATTAATTATTTATTTAATAACCCCATTCTATGGTTGATAATGGGTGCTGGTTTACTTCTTGATCTTCTTGTGGACCCATATTGTTTTTGATGGAAGGATGGGGTTCCAAGAATCCTTAGCGGTTTGACGCTAACCACCGCCATGTTCTTGGTCTTCAAATCTCCATGTGCCAAGTTCAACTGATGCATCGCTCGCAGCTGCGCAAGAACTTGGATCCCAACGGTTGGTATCACATCGATGGGATCTGCATCTTTTCGCAGGTCTTCCAAACTTCCATGAAAGCGCTGCAGCACCAAAAAGCGCTGCGTTTCCGGCTGGTCACCAGCGAAAAGCCCAATGAAATCTGGAAAAGTTTCCAACCCCTGCAGTGCTTTCAAAACCATCGCTTCCTGCAGTAGTTCATACTTGTCGCTGAGTTTTGCGACCAAATCCCGACGCCCGGTGATGGTATCTCTAACTTCCAAGACCTGACTGCTTTGTCCTTTTCCAAGTGCTTGACCAAAAACGAAACGACCGGCTTCAGCTGGGCGAATATCTTGGGGCTGAACCTGTGCCACATTGCCGGAACAGCATTCTTATAGCCAACAGTCTCAAACCCTTGGGCAAATCATGGCCACCACAGAAACCAAAGAACACATCGAAACCCAACCCCTGCACCAAATCAGGCGACAATCCAAAGAACCACGAGCTGAAGGGAGGCATCCGGGCAGTCCCCCGGGTCCAGAGTTGGAAAAGCACATCGCTCAGGTACGAGTTCCGCTTGTGTGTGACCGTTGCCTTCGAATGCCAATGTCAGCCTCTCGGGATGTAATGCCCCAGATCTGATGGAACACTGTGAAGTTCGATGAGTGGAGACCGGGGCTACAAAAGTCCAAAGTCCATGACTTTTTTGTAGCCCCACAGGTAAACCATATCTCATCTGGAATAGCTTTTACAATTTAGGGGCTGATGGACTAGACATGATACACCCCCAACAAAAACCAATTTATTGCTTGTGAATTTGTGAATCTCCATTTGTGGATGTTTTATTATTCCCACTCTATCTATTCATGATACAATCATCAAATCTCAATGTCTTCATGTTGACTGCATCCCCACTTATGGATGGTTAATCCCCGCTCTGCTGATGATTTAGCACATTGTTCGCCTTTTCATCAACCATTGTTGAACACCATTGCAAAACTAATGTACAGTATATACACTGGATCTTTACTGGGGTGTGTTGATCATCCATAGCATGAACATAATCATGACCATCATGATGCATCCACTAAACAACTTAAGCATACTTACGCGCAACCCCCCAATCATGCAACGTCAAACTGGGGTTTTCACCACTGATCAAAACTTGTATAATAGTATTAAAATGTATTGGACCGCATTAAATAGCCGTAAATAGGCAACAGTGATTGACCCAACTGTTCTTGGGTTGGTCAATAAGCCTTTCCTGAACCCCTGGTTAGGATCACCTTTGTGGGGTTGAATCCCTTCACCCAGTGACCACCTCTGCTTATCCATAGTCCCTCGGAGCCACGCTGCTGGCTCTTGCAAGCGCGGCCGCCAGCGACCAGCCGCCAGAGTCGCAGTGACGTGGAAGGAGATGTTCTCATGCAGGCCTCGCCGGCTACCATATTATTTCGAAATCTACATATTCGACATATAGCTGATTTACCTATTGAACACAAGGAAACTCGTGGCTTTTCAATTGCCAAGCTCTTTTCCAAGTTTGATTACAATAGGATAAACCACACCAACGTTTTCCCGTGATCTTTCCCACTGGCGTGAAATCTTCCATCCCATCTATCGCGGAGTCACCGGCCTGGAGCTGTGCCACTGTGGGTGCCAAGTTCTGCCAGATGGGTTGCTTCCAACTCCTCTGGAGAAACCCTCCAAGTGATCCAAACGTGATCCTCTCTCTCATGGTTCAGCTGCAGCTTGGGGCCCATAGGGTCAGAGATTTTGCCATGAGATCAACCATGGTCAAATCGAGGCTTGATGGCTTGAGCCACGTGGCAAGACTGGCTCAGTTCTAGGCTTCGGCTGATGGCAAAGGACATCCCTTATGGAACATGGGATTTGGCCATTTCCCCAAAAAGTGCAAAGCTGCCATCATGCAAACCCATCAAAAGCCATGCAAAAGATCGGCTGGGCTGCCCAGCTGGATGGTCCCGGGCCAAAAGCATCTGTGCCACTTGGCTCTGTCCATGCCTGGCTGGAGTGGGATGCATTCTGTATACATATTTTGCATACCAATGCATACCATACATTTTGTGGCAAGAAAGGTCCCTAGGACTCACACTACATTTTGATCCTTTGGGTATCTGAAAATAAGGCATACCCTCAAAAATGTTGTATAACATGGGGAAAAACATGATCACCATTGATCACCCATAAGATCTCAGCGTATTTGCCAGGAACAACTTGTTGAACTCTCCCAACTGACGCACGCGCACCACGCAGCGGCATGCAGCAAGGAATCGCCGTTGGGCGCGAGGTCCTGCACAATTAGCGTGGCAGGCTAAGCCCTCAGCATTCCCAGTAGTTGCTGAGGAATGGCTTAATAACAACAGCTGCTTCAAGCATTTCAACATTTTGCGACCATCGTATGGGATTGCCTCAAAATCTGGAGGCCTAAAATCCAATGGTTGAGAAATTGCAATTTTCGTCGACTTCCCACAATATCCACAATAAAATTGCAGTTCTGGGAGGTGTATGTTGAGACAATCGTTATGCTTCTACAAGCACTGCAGGCTTTCACTTGGCCATCCCAACTAGCAGGCAAGTCCAAAAACTTCCCTCAAAAACATCCTTCACTTTAAATGACGGTCAGATCATCTACGTTGAGACCAGAAACCCATGGCTATGGCTATGGCGGGGTATGTGGGGCACCGCTCCTCAGTCAATCGGCTACCCGAGCGGTCTCCGAGCAAACGCTCCAGCACCCCTGTGTCGCCCTCGCGCCCGACTTGGGGTTGGTCTCAAGGTCGGGGGGGACCTGAAACGACCTGAAACTGGACAAACATGGCACTTCGAAATGGAAAACATGGGGTGTCAAAACATGTTTTCTTTTGGGATTCAAATTTTGAGACAACCCAAATTTGAATGTGTCCCGCGTGGAAGGCTGGGCAGCCAAAGCTGGCCCAACTTTAGAGTCAAACGCTAAAGGAAAAGAACCCCCAACCAACAAAGACTTTTGACAGCTTCATTCTTCAAGCATGGCCGAGGGAATTGAAAAAAACATCTCCATTTTCCATCCATTTTCCATATTTCCACCATGCCGTTGCGGCCCAAAGGCCACCTCCCGAGCGGCTCGAAAAAGCGCGTGATCTCCAGGCCCCTCAGCGGAACAGGAAGCCGTCAAGCACGGGATGCCATACGGACAAATTTTTAAAAAGTTATGTGTGCCACAAACATGATATTTTGTATTGATAGATCTATCTATCTATCTATCTACCTATCTATCTATCTACCTATCTACCTATCTACCTATCTACCTATCTACCTATCTACCTATCTACCTATCTATCTATCTACCTACCTATCTACCTATCTACCTATCCACCTATCTACCTATCTACCTATCTACCTATCTACCTATCTACTTATCTACCTATCTCTATCTATCTATCTATCTACCTATCTATCTATCTACCTACCTATCTACCTATCTATCTACCTATCTATCTATCTACCTATCTATCTATCTATCTACCTATCTATCTATCTATCTGTCTGTCTATCTATCTATCGATCTATCTATCTATCTATCTGTCTATCTATCTATCTATCTATCTGTCTGTCTATCTATCTATCTATCTAATCTATTTTTCTTTCCATATATATATATATACCGCATATACTATAATATAATTACATATATGTATAATTGTCAGTAAATGGTTTGTTCCACTGGCCACACATGAGCGAGCTGGCATTAACCTCTTCGTCATTTCGCTACAGTCTCACATCAAGGGCATCCAAGGGCCATGTACACAACTGGGGCAGCTGCTGGAACACCTGGCGCGATTCCCAAACTAGTGATTTGAATTTGTGGAGTTTGTGGCTTGAGGACTTTCTCGTCATCTCTATGGCTCCTATGCTCTTTTGCGTTTTGAATATTTACCGGCTTTCAGAACGAATCTGCCTTGTAGTGCAAACACGATCACAACATCTATACTAGTATCTATCAAAAACGTCAGAAATGAATGGAAATGAGCCTTTTCCTGGTTCGCAGCACGATTCTTGGTTGAACCGAACGCGTCGCTACTCACCACTTCTTCAACCACGCAAGGCAGCGTCCTCCGCTTGCACCCACTGATTGATGTGACCTCGTCAATGCGTATCGCTACAATGGCACAATATCCAGGTTCTCCACCTTCCGTGACTGGACTCGAACAACTCAAGGACTTCAACTGCATCAAGGATTGACGTCTTCGACTTCCCAATGGAGCTCAGCCATCCTGTCGTACAGCTCAGAGAAGGGTAAGTGCATGTAATCCTGCAGGGCAACTGGCGACAAAAATTGCCTTTGATCCATTGGCGGCTCCTAAGTTTATCCATCCATCCGTCCATATCCGTCCATTTTCCAAACTTGCCAACATTTTTGGATATATATATATAAATAATATACATATAGACCTGTAATAGTACACTTTCGATTTTCATATGCAAACACAAGTACAATCCACACACACAGACGTACAAACATATACAACTTAATAACTTATATGACCGTATGGTATATCAGCCAAGAAAAACATGCTCCGGCCCGGCGCTCATTCTTTGCGCCTCTTTGAAGGATGAGCGATAGATCTTGCGCTTCTGCCGCCCCCCCAGATGCAGCTCATCCACTGAGCTTGGAAGAATCACCACAACCTTCAGCTGGGCACATGACTGCTGGTTCCAACTTTTTCGACAAAACGCTGGTCATTTGGTGTGTAATTATAATATATATATATATATACATATGTGCGTGTGTGTGTGTGTCTGTGTGTGTGTGTGTCGTGTGTTTTTGAATGTATATCATATATATATATATTATTATTATCATTATTATTATTGTATATAATATATATATATAAATATAGTACCATCCTCCAAAAGAAACATGAATCATGAACATCAACAAACGCTTGAGATCACGAGCACCTAACAGCCAAATGAGGTAGATGGGTCCAATGGTGCAATGTCTGGCAACCAACTTGAGGCTTTCCATCTGTCATCCATCAGCTCTTCGATTTTCTTAAACATCGTCCCTTGGAGTTATGATGATTTCAGCTCAAGCTTGGGACCTTCTTTTGATCCAAGGGTCAAGTCGGTAGACCCCTGGTCAGGACTACAGCTTTGAACCATTTTGGTGCTTGGCCAGTAAGCCCAATGCCAATAGTTCTCTAAGATGATCTAAACTAAGTAGGATGAAGTAGGATGAAGATGGATGAGGTAGGCACATAGAGGTAACGTGGCATACCTAACGAAAGGGCCACACTTTGCAGATTTTGTAAGTCAATGTATATAAGTCATTTCCCTTTGAACAGTGCAATTTCGATCTTTATTTGCTAAATTCAAAGTTTCTGTGAGGTGTTTGATATTCATCAATTTAGGTGGAAGGGCTTAGCCTTAAAGGCCACTGCACCCACTGTGAAGCTGCAACCAGCACGCCGCAAAGTGTGCGTCTTCAAGGTCGGTGCTGCTCACAGCCTCAGCTCAATTTGTGATGAGTGGGCTGCTGGAAAACCAACTTTTTTCTCTGGTTGTATTTGGGTCCAAGCTCAACTCAAAGCCTAGGACTTTGAAATTTGGATTTTGGCCGTCTCCAAGATTTACATTTCACATCGCTTCACATATATTTACAGTACTGTATATTTAGCATATAAATCTTGAGTTTCCAATCATGCAGAGCTTCAGAACCTGCGAGCTGGCGACTTGGTTTGGCACGTCTCGGGGTCGACCAGGATGTGGCCAGAAGAAGGTCTCCTTGGTGCTGGCTTTCCTTGGGAACCAAGGGATGACAAGGGATATCTTGGGTTTGAACCCCCTGGCTAGGGCAAAATGTCAGCGCTTTTCCATGCTTTTCCAGGATGACCACTTTTGTAAGTTGAGCATAGTTGAGCTACAATGATGAGCCTGAGTGGCAGGTGTAGGTCGCCTATTTCACATCAAAATGCAAGTGGATGGGCCACTAGTTTGCATTTAGAACGCAATTACAGTGTAGGGGCCCGTTGCAGTGGTGGGGAACAAGCTGCGAAATACACTCATCGAACTCGGTTGCAAACCAATTTGTCCATGTGATCCGAACAAGCTGAAGAAAGTTGGAATTGCACTGGTGCGTAAGTAGTGGCGAATGAGGCAAACCCAATCAATCATCCCCACCTACCGCCTGTTTGGGATGACAATGTATGTAAAATGATCCGAACTGGGTAACTGGGATGGTTTATTGTTGGGTTTACATGGGCTAAACATGGCTAAACCCATGGTTTACATCATTTCTACAACCATTGGATTGGGATGTGCGCCATGTTCTCAGCCTGAGCATCAATCGCTGCCAAACTGCGGACCTCACAGCCCGCAACTCTGGGTCCTCGCAAATCATTCCTACAAGCATAGTGATGAAGTGAGCAATTGAGGCATGAAGCACTAGTCACTTGACATTTCAACATATTCACGTAGGAACGTAAACTTTTTGAGAGCGAACCTCTCATGCCATTCTGCAAACACTGAACCCAGGGCCAAGTAATGCCAGGATATGACGGTTTGTCAAAATGTCTGTTCCCGGTTTTGTTGATAAATCGCAATTCCATGCGTGCCGCCTCATGTTTGCCTTTAAAAAACATGACCTACCTTGATGACGTGAAAACGTGGAAATTCTTCGTTACCTTTGGAAATCTTTCTAAAACCACAGGAATCGGCTAACGCACGTCGGTTTTCATTCGCTGTCGCTGGTACTATCTCCTGAACTGTGTGTCTCTGTGTGTGCGCCTCTCTGAATGCAATATGCTTCTTGACATGCCTCCTGATCAACGCTGTTTCCTTACTGTAAGCTACCAAAGCGTGAACATGGCTGTGCCTCTGAATGGGCTGCGGGTGGACCGGGGCATGTATTTGCAATTTTCGCTAGCGCGTTGCTAGCGGCGATCTAGCGCGTAAAATACGTAAAAAAATCGAAAATTTGGGAATATGTGGAAACTGACAGACTTGTAAGAAAAGCTGGCAAGACATTCACGACATGGAGGCCATGGCTGTCAATCAAACCTAGCGCAAACCTAGCGGGTTTGCTAGCGCTGCCTTGCAGAATTGCTGAATTTAGTTGCGTGCCGCCTCATAACGAAGAGGAAAAAACAGTAGACCCAGATGAATTATCAACAACCAATACTAAACATCTAAACAACTATTTTTGACAAATGGTCATATGCCAAGTAGGTTGACAGTCAAACAACAAAGCAGCTGTTGCTTTAAACACATCAGCATTTGGCCCTTCCTGCAGGTCCTGTGTCGTACTATCTGCAATTAGCCCTCGACCCGCGATCCGGAATTGCACTGACGCTTCATCAAACCACCAGCAAAGCTCCACGCGGCTCTGGGGAAAACTCTCCTGCGTCAATGCTGCTTACTTAATCTTACTCATAAGTCCCAAGCACGAATGGTGTATTGAACTTGGTGAAACCCTACATAATCCCTGAAACATCCTGAAGACCACAGCCCAGCCCTGCTAGACAAACACAATTTGACAACCCAAAACATCCCAACTTTGGGTATATTCCAAGGATTTCCAAGGAGGCCATGCTGCATATCATCAGCAGCCTGGAGGTGTCGAACCTTCCCTGCCCGCTCGTCGGTGATGAGCAGCATCACACAACTGTCCTCATGACGTGCATGCAGGGAGCCTTTTGTCAGGTGAAGAGCCAACAATATCAACAACACGTTGAAGAAACGGTTGCCACTCGGATAGTGAGTTGTTTCACGTTGTTTCGCTCCTAGACCCATTTCCCATTTCGGGAAACCGCCACTGGGCCTTGGTGCTGGGCTCCATCAGCTCATCATCACTGGCATCACTGGCATCCTGTCCACGCTCTGCCGCCAGGTGTTGTGCTTGCAGAAAGCCGCGAAAGACCACGGTGCGAACGCTCGGCGCCAGGGTCACCTGCTAGCGGGACATGTGACCAGGGCAATGGTGAAAGAAATGGAAATGTGAAACTGTATGAAACTGTGAAACTGAGACTAGATGAGACTAGCATAGGCTAGCAACAAAGGGGGAAGGTGGATCTGGTAATGATCTGGTATCCAAGTGAACAACACTTAAATGTCTTAAATTGCGGTACGATTTTACACCCGCCGGGATGTTTGACTACCAGAGGGTACCTCTCAAGGCACTCTCAAGGCACCGGGTCAACAGTTGCAAGCTGCAGCTGCTTGCGCTTCGCTTCGCGTCGATCGCGCTTCGGTCGTCGTGTCCCTCCGTGGTTCAGCGCTGCTCGCACCGCAGCCACCCAAGGGACCAAACACACAGCCGGTGCTTTCATGGAGTCCTTAGTGAAAGCCGGGGATTGAGCCCCTTCAAAAATCTTGAAAGATGTGAAAGTCAATAAAGTCAATCTTGGGGATCAACATTTCAGATAGGGAATTAATATTTGAAACCACCAGGAAGTCAGTTCTAGTCATGGCCATTCTGCCAATGTATCATCCCCACCTTGTCTTAGACCGAGACCTAGGATGCCAATGGATGGCAAGAGCGTCTCAAAATGTCCACCCAAAACTTCATGCTTTTGCTTATACAGAGCGAATTCCCAACGGGGTTCAAAAGGATTTCAAGTCTGCAAAGTGACAGCGGGCATGACACTTAAACAGGGAAATAAAATCTGAAATTGGCCAACGAATCAACCTTTCCTGCCGCTTGATTGTCATAGCCAGCATCCATTGCCCTCTGCCACGCTTTGCCACTCCACTGACGCAAATGGGGGCTGCCTGAGTGTTGCAGGAGGCCTAACAGGCCTAACAAATATCTTGGCCACAAAACATCCAGTGGGTCATCTCGGGATCATCGAATTCTGCATGGCAAGCTGCAGGGCCACCAACCAGCTCGCTTCAGCGTGGATGTTGCCAACATGGAACTCCCACAGGGAGTTACCAATCAGCTGGCATTGTCGCGTCATTTTTCAGTTTCCCATATGTGTATGAATCAAAACCCGGGTAGCATCACAACATCAAAATGGATGTTCATCCCCAAATCATGGTTTCAGCACGGTTATGATCGGTTTTGACCCACCATCATCCACGTATACCGCAGACCAAACATTTCAATTCGAACAGGAGCAGCCTGGAAGGAAAGCTGAGCCAGAGAGACAACGACAAAAAAAATCTGCTCACAACAAATCATCGCCCATTCAAGCTACCATTCACCAACTGTTTTACCATGTTTTGCCTAGATGTATCCACATATCACCACATATCCTCTTTTTTCGGGTGGTTGCAGCTGCATCAAGTTGCGGACCTGGAAAGTGAGGAAATCCTGAGGGCTGCAGTATCTGCAGCACCTGTCGGCTGTAGGCCCGGCCCAGGCAATGGGCTGCCAACCCACCAATGGGACCAACGCACGAAGTGCTATTGGAGTATTTACCATGAACAAAATCCAATCCCAAAGTTGAGTTGTTGTTTTGGGTTTATCATTGTTTTTCATACTTTTTCATGGTTTTATCATGGGTTTATCATATTTTTATCATGTTGAGCCATACCATCCATATGGGTCCAACGATGTCCGCGGGCCTGTGGGTCTGGCGTGGTGTGAATCCATCGGGCCTTGAGACGACCAGGGCTAGGATTTAAGATGATTCAATATGACCTGATATGATTTAACACACACACACATTCGTTCCGCATCTCGGCCATGGATTGAAACTCCAATAGGTCCTCTGTGCTGCATTAATTATAATATATCTGTATATATATATATATACACATTTACATATATTTACACACATATTTACGTGTGTATATATATATATGTATACACCTATGTGCATGATTGACATGAATATTAAAATGTATCTATATGATTTGATATGATTCATCATGCTTCAAGTAAAAAGGTTTGATACTTCCAAGCAGTCATGCACTGCCTGCAGAGGTCCTGCTGTTTTGATCTGGCTCTGGTTCCAATGTGCCGAGACGCCATGCCTTTCTTTGAAGGACAGGAGCTCTGGCTGATGTTCAGTAGGATAAGAGCGGGAAAACATTGCTCTGAATCGACGCTGAATCCTTCGTTTTTTCGCTGGCAGGGTTTTAAAATTATGTTCATCCTACCAAGCGACGAAAATAGGAGCCAGCTTGCAACTTCAATCGGCATAGGACAGCATTGGCAAGGGCATCATGGGCAGAACCACTGATGACCTTTGCATCGATCTATGGGTAGCCCCGGTTGCCCGACCAGTCGCTAACGACTGCAACCTTAGTCAGCATGCTTCCACGCCGGCAAAACAGCATCAAAAATCAAAGGTCCCCGATCATCAGTAGAAAGAACAAACATATGCAAATAACTGCACTTGAAAACGACAAGCATGGCTTTCCAACCATAAATATCATCATCTTTGGATCTTGGCACCGGCTCGCCCAGTGACCGTTCGAACCCCGCAAGCCAGGCAACAGACTCGACCAAGGGATGCGTCCAAACAACAGGAGGCTCCTGGCAATCTGTAGCTAGTCAATGGTTTCGATCTGTCACAACATGTCAGGACAAATTGCCTAAGGAAATCTAAAAAATGCATGAATCATCACAACTATGGGGCCCACGGGGCGCTCTGATCATGAGCATATTTCAACCGAAATGGTTTCAGCCTCAAAAGTTCCTGTCAAAAAGTGAACTCAAAATTGTTTTTGAGCTTCGGCGACCAAAAAAACGCGACATCCCTTTATATAAAGATTCTCATCTCCAATTCCGGATGCCAGCATGAATGGATCCAATCCCAAACCAAGGTTTCTAGGTGCAAAGTATTACCTGGACTGGATTACAAATACTAACGAGGTTTTTTGGTAGTCCTCTCTGCTGATCCCAGCAAAATACAAGGGACCAGGGAAGGCCAAACAGAGCTGGAGGTTTCCAAAATTTCTCGTTGATGGTTTCAACATGTTTCAACAATTCCAGAAGTTATAGTTCCAATGCTACACCAAGGGTTTTAGGCGATATTTTTCTAAAAACCAATTGGATTTCAACATTCTTCGATCGTCCAGATATGTCCAGATCGTCGCTTTTTGCTCGCCTTCAGGCCAGGTTTTTGCAGCATGCCACCCTGGGACCTGAATCAGGTGAAGTCCAGAAGTCCGATGCTTAAAGGGGTCTCTCTGGGGAGTTTATGATGCATGTTGGTTGCTATGATACATGAGTTTATGTTGATGTTCAATCTTTGTTTATGGTCTTTGAGTTTTGGATATTTTTGGTGTATTTTCAACCAGGTGGGCAATTGTTGTTGCTGACTAGTCTCTAATACTGTTATCAATACATATAATGCATATCATTATATACAGTACTCAGCTTATCCTCCGCAAGTTCCAATGCCATCCCACTAGCATTAGTAAGGCGAATGCTTTGGACCATCTCCTTTGTATCCTTTGTTTAGTTGTCTTATCACTCCAACAACTGATTATTGATCAACATTGGGTTCACTTCTGTGTCTCGGTTGAACTCACTTTCACTCATGAACCATTCGACAACGGTGCTGCATCCAAGCAAGCATGATCTTCATCGGGTGAAGGCATCGGAAGACTTTTTGAAGCAAGCCATCACTACTGTATCATTATATTATATTATATTATATTGCTCTTTCATGTTTCTTTTGGTTCATTTATTCATCCTCTTCATCTGATAGCATCCAATTATATACTGAAGTCAGCGATCAGTCCTGCATTTCCCAAAGCTAAGTTTTTTTTCCCCCCGGGCATTTCCTTTTACTCTCTCTCTCTCTATAGGAAGTCATTCTTTATCCATCTTTATCTAGTTTTGGGGTCTTGTTCAGTTTCCCTTATGCTGTCTAGTCTTTCATTTATATGGATCAATGCTGAATTTGATTCCACAGTCGAAGTTTCGGAATCTCAACATACGAAACTTATCAAAAAAATGTCTGTAAATTATATCAACTTCATTCAGCATATCTCTTGGATGTTGTTGTCGCTATACAGCCAACGTTAAGCAAAGCGCACATGGGGCCGTCCCCAAAAAAGATATCCCTTTGGTAGTTCTGTTTTGCATTCAATCCCAATGCTGATTGCATCTGATTGCAGTTTCCACATTGAGTTGGAGATACATTCATTGACTCTGTTTGATGAAACTCTCCCAGCCACCCTTTTACCATTTTTTCCGGAGCCTGTTGTTCGCAGAAAGGATACATTTCTTGCATTTAATTTGGAGGAGTTTAACACCTCCCTCGTGGACATGTTTAATGCGGTTGCATCACCCCCACATTCGGCTATGGACGAAGATTGGGGTGTAAATGGACCCACAAAATCATTCAATTCTAATCAAAAAACCGACCATTTTGGAGCTCCATGATTTGCAGCCCATCCCCATATCATCCCATATCCATTTCTACATTGTGGTAGAATTGGAACATTTCCAACCTAGAAATGCTGTAACAATGTTGTACATGGACGGTGTGAACGGGAGTGGTTTCCCATATTTAAAAAAAAACATCATTTATGGGGCCATATCTTGCGCAAGTCCCTATCCTTACCCTTGATTAACCCCTACTGCAAACCATAGGGCTTGGTCGAGCAGTGTCGCTGAACTTTCTCCCTCTGTCTTCTTGATCCTCAAACATCTTATTATAGCTCCTCAACAGCACAAACATGTATATGGGGGTTGATCAAAACATAGTTGCCGGTGTGTTATTAGAAATGACCTTGCGCCCGCCCTTGCGCTTCCTTGCGCTCTTCAGGGTTTTTATTGTGTTCCATTACATAGATTAAAATATGTATTTAAGAATTGATTGCCGCAAAAAGTTGCTCAATTCAAGGGGGTGTTCACTGATCCAGTACGCTGTGCAACACAAACTTTTTTAGCCTTCGGAAGCAAAATCTGAGGATTCGGAGCTCGAATTATCAGAAGTTGAAGATTCTGAGGAGCTCTACCTACAGAGGAAATTTGATTCCCAAAACGGCCCTTTTGAGCCAGAAAGAAGCTTTACGGGAATCATTTCAAGATGTATGTAGAAGGAGAATGTATACACATAGGAAATTTGATTCCCAAAACGGCCCTTTCGAGCCAGAAAGCAGCTTTACGTGAGTCAAATCTCAAGAGGTATGGTTGAAGGATAGTGTATACACATAGAAATTTTGATTCCCAAAACGGCCCTTTTGAGCCAGAAAGAGGCTTTACGGGAATCAAATTTCAAGAGATATGGTAGAAGGAGAATGTATACACATAGGAAATTTGATTCCCAAAACGGTTCTTTCGAGCCAGAAAGCAGCTTTACGGGAATCAAATTTCAAGAGATATGGTAGAAGGAAAGTGTATACACAGAGAAAGTTTCATTCGCAAAACGGCGCTTTTGAGCCAGAAAGAAGCTTTACGGGAATCAAATTTCAAAAAGATACCAAAAGCTACGGAGCTGTTAAAATGTTTTTGCCGGAGCCTTGTAGCGATGCCTGTCCAACTTGGCAAAACAACCTAAAGAGAAACTTGCGCTTACCTTGCGCCAGACTTGGGTTCAAAACAGGCATTGCAAAGGCAAAAAAAACTTCACTAAATCCAACCGAACCTTCTATGTGTATACATTCTCCTTCTACCATACCTCTGGAAATTTGATTCCCGTAAAGCTGCTTTTTGGCTCGAAATCTACCATACCTCTTGAAATTTGATTCCCGTAAAGCTGCTTTTTGGCTCGAAAAGGCCGTTTTGGGAATCAAACCTTCTATGTGTTTACACTCTCCTTCTACCATACCTTTTGAATTTTTGATTCCCGTAAAGCTGCTTTTTGGCTCGAAATGGCCGTTTTGGGAATCAAACCTTCTATGTGTATACACTCTCCTTCTACCATACCTTTTGAAATTTGATTCCCGTAAAGCTTCTTTCTGGCTCAAAAGCGCCGTTTTGCGAATGAAACTTTCTCTGTGTATACACTTTCCTTCTACCATATCTCTTGAAATTTGATTCCCGTAAAGCTGCTTTCTGGCTCGAAAGAACCGTTTTGGGAATCAAATTTCCTATGTGTATACATTCTCCTTCTACCATATCTCTTGAAATTTGATTCCCGTAAAGCTGCTTTCTGGCTCGAAAGAACCGTTTTGGGAATCAAATGTCCTATGTGTATACATTCTCCTTCTACTATGCCTCTGGAAATTTGATTCCCGTAAAGCTTCTTTCTGGCTCAAAAGCGCCGTTTTGCATCGTTTTGCGAATGAAACTTTCTCTGTGTATACACTTTCCTTCTACCATATCTCTTGAAATTTGATTCCCGTAAAGCTGCTTTTCGGCTCGAAAGGGCCGTTTTGGGAATCAAATTTTATAAGTGTATACATTCTCCTTCTACCATATCTCTTGAAATTTGATTCCCGTAAAGCTGCTTTTCGGCTCGAAATGGCCGTTTTGGGAATCAAACCTTCTATGTGTATACACTCTCCTTCTACCATATCTCTTGAAATTTGATTCCCGTAAAGCTGCTTTTCAGCTCGAAAGGGCCGTTTTGGGAATCAAATTCTATAAGTGTATACATTCTCCTTCTACCATATCTCTTGAAATTTGATTCCCGTAAAGCTGCTTTTCGGCTCGAAAGGGCCGTTTTGGGAATCAAATTTTATAAGTGTATACATTCTCCTTCTACCATATCTCTTGAAAATTGATTCCCGTAAAGCTGCTTTTCGGCTCGAAAGGGCCGTTTTGGGAATCAAATTTTAGAAGTGTATACAGATACATTCTCCTTCTCTTGAAATTTGATTCCCGTAAAGCTGCTTTTCGGCTCGAAAGGGCCGTTTTGGGAATCAAATTTTATAAGTGTATAATTGTGTATACACTCTGCTTCTACCATACCTCTTGGAATTTGATTCCGTTTTGGTAGGGTTCCGTCTGTCCTGCCTACCAGCTCTGAGCCGCTACTGATACAGAAAAGAACAACGATATTAATATATCTTGCGCCCGCCCTTGCGCTTTCTTGCGCCTCCCAGGCAAAACGCACTACAAATTTACAACAACATACTCCATTCATACGTTTGTATGAAACTCCTCTGGGGGGGTTTTGATCGTCACTCATATAAGTTCATATAAGTTGTTTTCTCCACAGCACAAGTTCATTATAGTCCAATATCTTATAGGGAAATCATCTCAATTCCTGCTTCTGATGTCTAATGCCCCCATTGTGAAATTGTGATGATTAAAAGTCCCCATTTGTTTACTCAACAAGGCCCAGCTGGGTGGCGCACTGCGGCCCCGACTGCTGCGCTTCAGCGGTCGACTGCGACAGGCTGTTGTTCAATGCGGGGGGTGACCCTCTATTCATCATGAAAAAGATCAACCAACTGGTGGGACAAGATGGGACAAGATGGGACAAGGACAGTCCAGGAAATCATGGACATGTATGGACATCAAAAGAAATCATGGGACATCTATTGACGTTTTGAACCTCTTAAACCTTTGCTGCGGGCAAATTGGGCTCATCATCATCCCATCCGTTGATACGGAAATCAAGCATCAAAAACACCTGACACCACAAGTTGATCATTGGTACGAGTTGGGGTGGAATTACCCTCCGGTAATCAAACGTGGCAATGGAAAATCCACCAATTATAGACGATTTTCCGATTCAAACCTCGATTTATAGGGGATTTCCCAGCTAGCCACGTTTGTTCGAGGGATTTTGAGGGTAAGCACCCCCCGGAGAAAAATGAAGCACCCAGCAGTGAAGATATCTAGCGACATCTCCACCTCCTTGAAGGGAACTCCAGTGTACAGAAACAAGCGGCTGCCGGCGCTCGTGGCCATTCCTTTGATTCGATAGCTGGGGTCATGAAAGAAATCATGAAATGGGGGTTGATTGTACAGCAAATTGCCATGGTCAAAAGATGATTGTATATGTGGTTTATGGTCATCCATCCTAGTGGGATACAAATCCCTAGGAATGGATTGATGACCATCCCCTGACATGTATAATATATATATATATACAGTATATATATATATATATATACAATCCAACTCTTCACCATGGCACATATGATGACGTACGATTTCTGGTCAGGTATTCACACCGACGTTTCCCCCCTAGACATGACGAATTCCATTGGATAAACTTCAAAGCTGACTCTGTGTCAAATGCAGAGGGTTGGAGGCCGTCTTAACACTGTGCCACCCGTCATCCCATTCCAGCGGTTTGCCCTACAGCAAGAAATTTACTGGTGCCAACCGTGATTCCCAACACAATTTAACACTAACTACATGCAATTCTAGTCGAGTTTGGAAACTATTTGACTGTCTGCACCAAAGTGTCTGCTAGCCATTGGTGCAATGGGAAATCTCCAGGAGGGCTCTTCAAAGAACTGCAAGGACCTGTGCAGGATGCATCACTGTAAATAGAGTCATCATCAGTCATCCTGAAGTGCCTCTATTTAATACACTCCCAGTCCCCATTTATACCAATAATATATATATATATACCAATATTATATAAGTCTATAGCATGCTATGCCCCAAAAAGATCTCCAAGTTCGTAAACAAATCCAAAATGCCGATGAATTACTAACCTCTATCTTTGTGGGGGTTACTTTTACATAATTTCATACACTTTTTTTTCCCGGATAAAGCTGCCACTGGTTCTGCCTCGAGGGTGTGTGGTCAATTTCCTGGAAGTCAGACCCACAGAATTTCCATTGAGCCCCGTTTTGGAGAAGATCACATTAAAATAGGAACATAGATGAACATAGATATTTCATACAGATTTCCATACCCAAAGACATTTCATTGGACTTTTCTTAGGGCTCTAGTAGTCTCTAGTTATCAGAACACATCAAACATGAATCTACAAAGGCAGTATTTGCTAGTGACTGTCAGGGACAGAAGGAGTTAATTCATACTAGTTTCCTCAATTTGTGACTCATGTGCGGAGTGTGAGTATGACAGCTCTGGACTGCATCAATCTTCTGCTGTGCTGACCCTTGATACTTGGCTCCTCCAACCTCTGGTTCCTTATCGACAGTTCCCCGAGAAGTTCTCCATCCGGATGCAGGACGACGACCCGGTAGCCCAGAACGGTCTCAGCACAACTTGCTGCTCTAGTCGATTTTAGGGTGGCCGGGGGAATCAATCGTTGATGTCAAACATTTTGATATTTGAAAAACCGAATTGGATCATACTCTCTCAACCCATCTTTTTTGCCGGACCTTTTTGTCATCAACCCTCTTATACCATGGGGATCTATGAGATATCATATTTGATGTGAAAACGCAACCCAATGAATACAACAAGCAACTCCTGATCACACTTGTTGAACTCTGGCATTTGGCATTTTGATAAATTTAGTAGAACTATCAGAAGAAAAAAACATCGCATAGCACATGCCCAACTGCACATTGTTGTATAGTTCCAAGAAAAAATACAGTACCCACTTAGAACTACTTACAGTACATACCATGTGTATATACCTACATTAGTTACATGCATGTGCATTTTGCACATATCAAACATAATTATTGATCACATATGATGTACATGAGAATCGCACATTCATACTAATCATACTACGCACGTCGGATCGTCATCTCGCTGATGGCCAAGTGACAATTGTATCCCAAATCTCCTGCATGGACGGCTCAAACGCTCACCCAAACGAAATTTAAACTTGTTTCATAGGCAAACTGCCTGGGGTCTATGGATTCCTGTGGAATAGGCCTAAAGCGGCCTCTCGTTGCCTGGATCTTTGGCTAAACAGCCAACTCTGTCAATGCTCAAAAGCCTCCATTTCACCCCGCAAATCACCGGCAACAGCAGCTCCTGCTGGACAAATATCTTGTGAGCCTTGTGGAGGTGCAATTTTGACCCAGGATCAGTTAATACACCTCTGGTGGGTTGACTTACGGGTGCCAATATAATATATATATATATATAATATAATCCAATATATATATACTCCACATGATTCTACCATTGAACATTATTATTTCTATAGACATATATATATATACACATACATATATTATCACTATATATCATTTATCATATATTAGGAGTATATAATATTCCCCCAATGAATCAGCCAGAATCTATGAATCCAGGGTTGACCTGACCAGCACCTCTTGGCTTGGGCGGCTTACAGTTACAGGCTTCCGCATCACGAAGCATCTCCCAAAAAATGTCTCTCCAAATAACAGTCAATTTCCAAACGCAGGTCATTTTTAGGATCACACCATGCGTTTTTGCTTTTCCGGATCTATCATTTTGAGCCATACCCAATTGCCACAATGCTTCGGGTGACTATGAGGTGCTACCAGTTGTGCTACCAAGCTTCCTGTGCAGGGTCGATTTCACACAAGATCATGTCCTCAAGGATCTCATTGTGATATTCGATGAACATTCGGATGAGCCGCGGGTTTCTGGGATCCTGCCATTGGCAAAAACTGGCTGATGACCAAACAATCATCCGGTGGCAGCCTGAAATAAAGAGGAAACACATGGAACATTGGAACATCGCCTCCATTTTGATCCGGTCCAGTGTTAAGGGCCAGGGGTCGAGATTTTTTGAGGTCAGTGATGGTCAGTGCCAAAATCACCTCGAGATACCTTGAATCCAGCACTCTGCTCTGCCTGCTCGACGCCCATGATGACACCGCGACTGGGGATGTGAGGGTACTTGAACTGCAAGGTCGTCGGCGTGTTCCTTGCACAGTGGTTAAGGCTTAAGGTGCAAATCAAACCCAAAGGTGATGCTTAAATAGCTTAAATTCATGAATAGGACATGCACAAAGAGAGAGAGAGAGACAAATATATATATATATATAAACATAACAAAACCATCACATCTCGAAATCGGTTCCGCGTCCAGTCTTGGTTTCCCCAAGCCTCCAGACCTCCCAACGCCAACCTTGTGCCAAGCATCTGCAACATATCAAGGTAGTCCTTCTGACAGCTAAATCTCAGGCTGATGCAACTGACCGTGGCTTGGGCCACTGTCAGCTTACCTCAGTGCAGCAGCCTGGGAAACAAGCCCACCGAAAACGAGCCCAAAACACCCCAAAACTAGATATATATTTCAATGAGATTTTGGCTGTCTCCATGTAGTCCCACCCCTCTGACATACGAAACCAGGAGTTCTTTTGTCACATTCGGGGCAGGGATTCCAAGGTACCATGTCCTACTACCATGTCCTACCCAGCCATCCAGCTGCCGGGCTCCGGTGCTGCCATGTGCTGCCATGTGCTGCCGGGCCGCAGTAGATGTACAAAGGCTGCATGTTCATCGCCCGTTTGGACATCCAGAATTCCCCCTGTGTCTTCTCCAAGACTCCACTGGGAGAAGCGCGCCCGTGCCTGACGGATGTTTGGTCACAAGGATGTGGAACTCAAGGATGCTGAAACACCTGACCCGAATAGAAGTACTTTAAAACACTTAAAATACCATGTTTAATCCATTGTATTGTATTTTAATGCGTTAATTGTATAATCGTTTGTAATTAAATCAAAGTAATCTGTCCAAGCACATGCTGCACCAAATGCTGAGAAACAGCATGGGATAAAACCGATGGTTGCCAGCCCCAACTCGGCCGATCTTAGGCACCCCGTCAAAGATGGTTCTTCCCCATGCCCGTATTACACACAATTATGCGGAGTGGCATGACCCCGTGAGCCGTTGTTCAACAAAGAACGTCACCAACATCTTTTCTTGGCATACCCAGACTTTCATAGAGTTATGGAGATACCGATATAAACACAGACCTACTGACCTACTGTAAACACATACTTAGATACACAATAATCATAAAACATAAAAAAAAACGCGGTAAACCCAATTATAACTCATCACCAATATTACCACAGATGGATGGTCATATTCATCCCCAAAGATGGTTGTTTCTGGCAGGTCTTACCACATATAACATCATATACCAGGTCTTTTTTATTGAGTTTTCCACGGTTTTGCATGGGTTTTCCATAGGTTTTCCATGGTATAGTCAAGTCACACCATGTCGAAGACCATGTGATGCCAAAACTCTGTGCTCCGCGAAGATCGGCGCTGCGTCTCACCGACGACCAGGGCCTCAGCAGTGCCTTCGAAGATGATGGGACCGTCGTTGGTGGCCTCCCCGCACCTTGGAAGCCCAGGTCGCCAACCTCCAAAAGAACATACAAATACCACACAAATATACATATAGAAATGTATCTTTGTAACTGCATGTTTCATTTTTAGTAACTGGATGTCTATTTCTTATTGACACAACAGTTGGTTTCATAGTTGTTTGAAAAAATGACCCAACTGTCAAACTATGTTCCAGAGGTATATTATATACACATACGATCATATGCATATATATATATGTATAATTTACATTTTTATATACACATCACATAATAATACTGCATGTATCATCATATCTACATATGTGAGTATGTGTGTGTGTGTGTCCGGGTGTTGCATCGATTCTGCAGCCGTGCAACTGTTCCTTCATTTTAACCCAGGAGGGAGTCGTGCCAATGGGCGCTGTGCCACAGGCTTCCTCGCTGGCCACCTGGCTGGAATCCAAGGAATGTTTCAGCGTTTGTTTTTGCATGTTGCATTAAAATTGGGATCCATTTTTGGGGACCCACATGACTCACTGAATTGGAAGCGAGGGTAAGATGGACGCGATCACCAGCAAACTAAGCACAACTGAGGCCAGGACCAGATTCTGCAAATGCACTTGGCATGCATCTGGAGCGGAAGAAGCGAAGTAAATTTGCTTCGGCTCCCTGTTGTTGAAGCTGGTAAAATCCCTAAGACCTGGGATGATGAAACAGCCAAGCAGCACTGCCAAGCGGAGTCTATTGTGTTCACTTGTGACCAGCCCAAGAGCCAAGATGAGCCAAGGGACGTTTCAATGATCTCAAGTGCTAATTTTCAATGTGATAGGATATAATTATGTGATCCAAGAAACTGATCCAAACATATGGCAGTGTGTCAAAACCAATAGTACCCCTGTAGTTCACATCAAAATAGCTGGGATTTATGGATGTTCATCCCATTAAAAATGGTATCTATGGGTTTTGACACACTGAAAATAGGGTATATTCCCAATTATAGCCATTTAATAGGGATAATGATCATTAACCATCATTAACCATTGGGTTTAGGGGTACACTATTTTCAGACACACCCATATCCAAAGTGTATTGATTTCTTGCTCTCCAGTCCTTGACCCAACCATAAAACACACGGCCAAGCCACAGGTCCGCAAGGTCCAGTCGTGTGGTTTTTCAGTGGACTTCCCCGACTGGCGAAAGATGATGTCCTCAGTGTGACCGGGTGTGACCAAAGTAGCAAGCAAAACTCTTGAGGATTCAACATAGTTCCAATATTAGTTCCACATAATGATTATAAATTATATATATAATTATATATATATATACTATTCAACTAGTAGTTCCAAATAATGATCTGGTTGGTGGTTTGAACCCCTCTGAAAAATATGAAAGTCAGTTGGGAGGATTATTCCCAATATGTGGAAAAATAAAAAAAATCCAAACCACCAGCCAGTGATTAGAAATTATACTGTCATTCCTGGTGAACCTGTCACAACATGAACCAAGTCTCCAGCTGTAGATTGCGACCTCGGGCGGAGATCTTGGGAAAGCTGAACACCCGGAGGTGGCTCCTTCCAAATGGGTCAAGGTTTTTTTTTTGGTCGTTTATGACCCATTTGGAAGGGATTTTATGACCCATTTGGTCCTTCCATGGTACCCAAAATTATGACCCCGTGTAGAACAGAGAAAGTGGATTTTAGCAAAACAATTAAAAAAAAACAATCAAAAACCGAACCACCAAAAAAAAACAACTCGACAGGAAGAGTCACCAGAAAAATCAAGAAAAAAACAAGAAAAAACAAGAAAAACACAAAAAAAATGCCAAAAAACACATACAAAAAACAAAAAAACAAACCAAAAAAAAAAAAATCAAAACCTGCATTTTCCTCAGTTTTTTTTTGTTTTTTGTTTTTTTTCTCGTTTCTCTTGTCGGCGTGTTGTTTTTTTTTGTTTTTTTCTTGTTTTTTCCTTGGTTTTGGTTTTCTAGTTTGTTTTTTTTGTTTGCTCTGGTTTTGTTCCCCACCTGCCAGGTGAGGGTTGTTAGATTTTATGTCAGTTGCCTGGTCCTCCTCCTCCTCCTCTCCTCTCCTCCTCCTCTCGTTGTCCTCCTCCTCTCGTTGTCCTCCTCCTCTCGTTGTCCTCCTCGTCCTCCTGCTCAACTGCGACTCGCGATCCACAGTGTTCTCTGTCGGACCTCAACCACGACCATCCACGCCCAGTGTTCCCTGCCGGACCTCAACCACGACCATCCACGCCCAGTGTTCCTTGCCGGACCTCAACCACGACCATCCACGCCCAGTGTTCCCTGCCGGACCTCAGCCACGACCATCCCCGCCCAGTGTTCCCTGCCGGACCTCAACCACGACCATCCACGCCCAGTGTTCCCTGCCGGACCTCAACCGCGAGTATCCACGCCAAAAGATATGCCACATAGAGTGCCAGAAGATATGCCAGATAGAATGTTAGAAGATATGCCAGATAGAATGCCAGAAGGTATGCCAGATAGAATGCCAGATAGAATGTCAGCTAGAATGCCAGAAGATATGCCAGATAAAGTGCCAGAATGTTTGCCAGATAGAATGCCAGCAGATTTGCCAGATAATATGCCAGAAGATATGCTAGATAGAATGCCAGATGGAATGCCAGAAGATTTGCCGGATAATATGCCAGAAGATATGCCAGATAGATATGCCAGATGGAATTCCAGAAGATATGCCAGAACATATGCACAGAAATATGCAGAAGATATGCCAGAACATCTGCCAGAAGATATGCCAGAACATCTGCCAAAGATATGCCAGGTAGAATGCCATATGCCAGATAGAATGCCATCGAATGCATCATTAGCCATCATACACCAGACATACATCATTAGCCAATTAGCCATCATTAACCATGACATGATGTTGAATAGTGCATTATGATGGCTAATCTAACTATGTACATCTATTATATTGCATTATCATGATTATATAATGATGTTGAATTCCTTTCGGCCTCCTGGCCATCTTTCAGCACCAGAGAGATGAATGGACACAGCAGCAGGCCGCCGGCAGCTGCACGGAGGTGTACGGCAAAATGGACCCCAGACATGACCTGGCCACGGCCGCGGCAAATGGAAGAGAATCATAGCAAAATCGTTAACAACTATAATGTGTATATATATATAGTACAACATCTATTATGCATATATATACACACATATGATAATACAAAAAAATATAGAGGTACATAATAGATAAAAAATAGTAGTTAATAGTAGTTCTGGACATAATTATATAAGCTGTTTCAGTGTATAAGTCATGATGAAACACTGATGACAATGACTCTTGTCGTGGGAAGATGTATTTGAGGAATTGCGTTCTCAAAGCAGGCTGAACATCATGGATTCACTCAGGAGACGTCGATGAAGCAACATGAAGCCATTGGGAAAAAGCACACATATTTTTTCAACAGCATATCATGGGGCATAGTCGAATTTGGCATCTAGTAGCCAACAAATTTGGTGGTGCTGAGGCATCTTCAATATGCAACGAAACTATCTACCATTAGCTACCTACGAACCCACCAATCTATACCTATTCATCATATTGTCGTGTGTTTCACATTGGGCTCATACCCGGCTTGTTGCGCACGTTATGCATTCTGTACCATGGTCAGGTTCAACGTCACGTCCCACCGATCCCCATTCCGAGTGCCTCTCTGTGCGATGTCCGCGGCTGCAGAGTCGAAAGACAGGGGCACCCAGTGGCTCTGGGAAGGCCTCGTCGTGGTCTCTGGCAAATCCCAGGATGGCTTTCCTATTTTTCCGGCATTTCCCTAGCACGAGTTGGACCTTCAAACTAGATCCGAATCAGGGAATTTGAATGGAGCTGAGGTTTGTGTAAGGTGGATCTCGGAGGCTAATGTGGTTCCTTCCCGGTGGTTGCAGGCGAGAGCAAAGGAGGGGACCAGTGAGAGGATCTGGCAGTACTACAAGCCTTTGCGATCACGTGCCTACGCTAAAGAGCTTTGCAAGGGTCGCTTGTTGAGTGAGCTCACTTGGCTATGCTATTACCCATTGCTATTGCTTTTGTCATATCATTATCAATCATTATCATACCATTATCATGTTATTATTGTCATGTTATTCACATATTATTATCACATATCAGCAATTTTTACTAAATATTACGATCATATTTAAATTGATTTTCATCTATTGCCTATCCGAGACATCAAGTGACGCTGCTCATCCAAGTCCATGTGCCCATAAACTTTCTTCGCCCTAGCATCAGCCTCAGCAAACGGAGCTCGTCCGAATAACTTCCACCGGGGCACAGCTTGTGAAGTGCACTGAGTGTGAAAACGGCCCGCAATGCACAGCTTGCTCCTGGCATTACCTCATGGCATTCCCCAAAATGCAATCATGAGATGGAAAAGGAAGCAATGTTGCTCTGATTGAGCATGGCAAACAACATCATTCAGACCTATCGGACATGTGAAGCTTTTCTATGGCCATGCCTTCGTCAGAAAATACACAATCCATCAATTTCAACATCATTTCCTATTGGGGATGACCTTTTTACCTCTTTTATCATATCTTATCCACTCAATGAATAATCCTGCATCAAACTAACAGTAACTACAGTGTCCCGGTGGCCAACAGTGGGGTCTCTTCGCCATCCGACCCAGAACAAGGGCTCATGGGCTTTGATTGGCAACTAGCTTAGTACACAACACTTTTCGTGGGGCTTAGATGGGCTTAGAGGGTCAAAGGTCTTTTGCTAAATCCAATGTCTAAATCAAAAATCATACTTGGGGAGGAAGCAGTTAAATGATCCTAAGACTGGGATGTCAACAAGTCATGCCTGAGGCTCCAGCTGCAGTGGCAAATACTTTCCCACCTGTCAAGCTAGCGCCAGTGCTTTGCAAAGATTTGGTGAGTTTTCGTTGGAAGATGTTGGAAGATGTTGGAAGATGTTGAAAGTGTAAGTAAGTTCCTGCACCTTTCTGGTGACAACGGATGGTACTGATTGGTGGCAATGGGTATCGTGTGGATTTGCAGAGTATCCGCCCCCCGGAAGGAAACAACGCCTTTTCAGCATGTTTCAACAGTGGCGACCCTATGGCACCGAGGGCCTAGCACGTTTGCTTCCCTATAAATGGCCCACTGGTGTGCCTGCTGCCCAGGGGGTAGCCGTTTGCCGCTGTTGAGCTTGTAGCTCCTCTGCACTGGGTGTCATGTCGGCCATTGTGCCCATCAATTGTCCCTGCCTATGAAAGTGCACACTTGATCTGCACTACGGCACCTTCCAGAAACTTGTCAACCCAATGCTGGAAAATAGTAAACATTGGCTGTTGGAATCGGCATCCCGCGCAGATCAATGGCAGGTCCGGAACATAGGCATCGAAAAAGCCGCACTACAATCCAAGAAACAACATAGAAACTGGAAGCTGTTCTTATTTAAGTTCTCACATGTTCTACTGAACTTTCTGAATCAAACATCCACCACTCCAGTGCCAGCGTATGCCATCCTGCCCAGAGCTTGTTTTGCCCAAACGAATGGTCAAAAACGTAGAAGGCTTCGTTTGCATTCCTCAGTCCAGAGGTCCCATTTAAGATCTTCCGTCGTGCTGGTTGACTCCAGGAAATATGATGCACCACATTTCAGTGTGAGACTAATGTGGGTAATCATGGGTAATCCGAACAAAAAATCATCATCCCAGGAACTAACCATGTGGGGGCCATTCCACATCGTCCCAAATAGGGACCACCATGGTATGCCCAATCTGCATCTAGGCATCGGTGCCAGGAACTTATGACCTTCCCTTGGGCCACATGGGGCAAAACGATCCAGACACACTGCATTGCCCATGGCTTTGGAAGCCCTAAAAAGCAGGATGTAGCCTGAGGAACATGCTGATTTATGCTGATTCTGAACGGTGACTCAAGACTTACTTCATCTTGTTTCAGTAGACTTTCTTGCATGGTTGATCTTCGTGTCGTATCTGTTGGCTGAATGAATGTGATTCTGCATCTTGCTCAAATCGTGGGGTCCTCAATAATTTATCTAATTAAGGGCTTCTCAGAGGATTTGCCCCACCGCGGGCATCGTCGCGCAGGCAAGGGTTGCGAGGTGAACGTGACATGAAATGAGTGAAATGAAACGACAAACTTAAATGGGATACCAATGGATACCATTAAATTAATACTGACCAAATTCTTTGCTACCCTTGGGATGTTGGTTGGGCCCACCGCCAGAATAGCTTCAGTGGCGGTGTCCTTTGCTGTCATTCGATGGTCAAGCAAAAGAAGGCTGCACTCAGCGGTTAGCCAACAAAGCTGGATACCCATAGAAAAGGGATGAAAAGAGTATAAAAGAGTAACTTCAACACCTTGCGATGGAACGACGCTTTTTTTCCTGCGATTGCCAGTCATTATGAAATCTTCACGTTCTTCACTGAGTCTGTCGCATTGCTTTGGCACTCAGGGCCAGAAAGAGCTCACAAAGGAGCTGCGCTCTGGTATGTGAAGGTGGTAGATCAGCACAATCACAGGGCGTTGCGTTGATAACATAATTACCATCCAAACCAAGCAAAATAAACAGAATAAAACACATCACGGAGAACCATATTCAAAACTGGAATCTCCAATTC